GCTGCCATTTCTTCTGATACTATTCCCAACAACAGAAAAAGGGGAGTTCTCTCTAACTCATTTTATGAGGCCAGCATCATTCTGATACCAAAACCTGGCAGAGACACAACAAAAAAAAAGGAAATTTCAGGCCAATATCCCTGATGAATACTGATGCAAAAATCCTCGATAAAATACTGGCAAACTGAATCCAGTAGTACATCAAAAAACTTATCCACCACGATCAAGTCAGCTTCATCCCTGAGATACAAGACTGGTTCAACAGACGCAAATCAATAAATGTAATCCATCACATAAACAGAACCAATGATAAAAACCACAGATAATCATCTCAATAGATGCAGAAAATGCCTTTGATAAAATTCAACAGCATTTCATGCTAAAAACTCTCAATAAACTAGGTATTAATGGAACCTAACTCAAAATGGTAAGAGCTATTTATGACGAACCCACAGCCAATATCGTATTCAATGGGCCAAAGTTGGAAGCACATTCCCTTTGAAACTGGCACAAGACAAGGATACCCTCTCTTACCACTCCTATTTAACATAGTATTGGAAATTCTGGCCAGGGCAATCAGGCAAGAGAAATAAATAAAGGGTATTCAAACAGGAAGAGAGGAAGTTAAGTTGTCTCTATTTGCAGATGACATAATTGTATATTTAGAAAACTCCATCACCTCACCCCAAAATCTCCTTAAGCTGATAAGCAACCTTCAGCAAAGTCTCTGGATACAATTAATGTGCAAAAATCACAAGCATTCCTATACACCAATAACAGACAGACAGCCAATCATGAATCCTATTCACAAATGCTACAAAGAGAATAAAATACCTAGGAATACAACTTACAAGGGATATGAAGGGCCTCTTCAAGGAGAACTACAAAGCATTGCTCAAGGAAATAAGAGAGGACACAAACAAATGGAAAAATATTCCATGCTCGTGAATAGGAAGAATCAATATCGTTAAAATGGCATGCTGCCCAAAGTAATTTATAGATTCAATACTATCCTCATCAAGATACCATTGACTTTCTTCACAGGATTAGAAAAAACTACTTTAAATTTCATATGGAACCAAAAAAGAGCCCGTATAACCAAGACAATCCTATGCAAAAAAAAAAAAAAATAAAGCTGGAGGCATCATGCTACCTGACTTCAAACTATACTACAAGGCTACAGTAATCAAAACAGCATGGTGCTGGTACCAAAACAGAGATATAGACCAATGGAATAGAACAGAGGCCTCAGAAATAACGTCACACATCTACCACCAACTGATCTTTGACAACCCTGACAAAAACAAGGAGTAGGGAAAGGATTCCCTACTTAATAAATGGTGTTGGGAAAACTGGCTAGCCATATGCAGAAAACTAAAACTGAACCCCTTCCTTACAACCTTATACAAAAATTAAGATGGATTAAAGACTTAAACTTAAGACCTAAAACTATAAAACCCTAGAAGAAAACTTAGGCAGTACCACTCAGGACATAGGCATGGGCAAAGACTTCATGACTAAAACACCGAAACCAATGGCAACAAAAGCAAAAACTGACAAATGAGATCTAATTAAACTAAACAGCTTCTGCACAGCAAAAGAAACTAGCATCAGAGTGAACAGGCAACCTATAGAATGGGAGAAAATTTTTGCAATCTATCCATCTGACAAAGGACTAATATCTAGAATCTACAAAAAAATTTAAATTTACAAGAAAAAACAACCCCATCAAAAAGTAGGCAAAGGATATGAACAGACATTTCTCAAAAGAAGACATTTATGTGGCCAACAAACATATGAAAAACAGCTCATCATCACTGGTCATTAGAGAAATGCAAATCAAAACCACATTGAGATACCATCTCATGCCAGTCAGAATGGCAATCTTTAAAAAGTCAGGAAACAACAGATGCTAGAAAGGACGTGGAAAAATAGGAATGCTTTCACACTGTTGGTGGGAGTGTAAATTAGTTCAACCATTGTGGAAGAAAGGGTGGCGATACCTCAAGGATCTTGAACCAGAAATACCACTTGACCCAGCAATCCTATTACTGGATATATACCCAAAGGATTATAAATCACTCTAATATAAAGACACATGCACGTGTATGTTTATTGTGCCACTGTTCACAACAGTAAAGACTTGGAATCAACCCAAATGCCCATCAATGATAGGCTGGATAAAGAAAATGCAGCACAGAAGCACCATGGAATATGCAGCCATAAAAAAGGATAAAGCTGGGATGTCCTTTGCAGGAATATGGATGAAGCTGGAAACCATCATTCTCAGCAAACTAATACAGGAACAGAAAACCAAACATTGCATGTTCTCACTCATAAGTGGGAGTTGAACAATGAGAACAATGGACACAGTGGGGGAACATCACACACCAGGGCCTGTTGGAGGGCGGGGGGGAGATAGAGGAGGGATAGCATTAGGAGAAATACCTAATATGGATGACGGGTTGATGTGTGCAGCAAACCAACATGGCATGTGTATACCTATGTTAACAAACCTGCACATTCTGCACATGTATCCCAGAACTTAAAGTATAATAATAATAAAAAAAGAAACATGAGAAAACTACACTAAGGCACATAATATTTAAATCGCTTAAAACTAGAAATAAAGAGGAAATCATAAAAGCAGCCAGCGAAAAAAGATATTATATTGCACCTACCATTTTTTCAGAGGAACAAAGAAAAGAATGACAGCAGACTTCCCATCAGAAACAATGCAAGCCAGGGGACAGTATAGCAACGCCTTTAATTTGCTGAAAGAAAAAAATTAGTTCAAGCCTGACAGCACTATTTTGTTACTGCTGGAGAAGGTGTGTGCTCTGTTCCCTAAATCGCATTAGAAATTCTCACCAAGAATTCTTGCTAATACTAACAACAAAAGTGAAAGAAATTCTTATTATTTGAAAAGTAGTTAAGAAAGAAACTGAGATGAATCCTTTCACTTTCGCATTGAAGGTAACTGTAATGCAGTTAGTTCAGGATCAATCTTATACTACCTTGAAAGGAAACTATGGAAGAAGGGTCTGAGGCAGCTTTTAAACATTCAGATGAGGATACTACAGCTTGGAGTCAGCAAGTCTGGCTTGATTAACGTCCCCAGGAAGAGGTTATTCTGGAATGTTGATTTAGAGAATAATGTGCAAGATCTTAAGGAGATGAAGATAATCTTGTTCAACTTAAAAGAAAAACTAGAGCAGAAGGAAGAGTATATAGCTGGAAAAAATACAACTGATAATTTTCTTCTAAACAGATTATAAGAGTGGAAAATAAAACAGAGTCGGATTAGTGAAATAAGCTACCCGATGAGACTGGGGTTACCCAAGTTTAGAGGTAAACCTTTTGAATATATTATTTATTACCAATGAGGAGGATTTCCTTGAGTCATGTTTATGACCTCAGCAATAATCTCTAAGAGAAAGGTACTGAAGGTAGGATGGGACCCTGTTCCTGAGTGGGTAGAACCCCTAGCCCACAAGATCATGATTAAGTAACAACAAAATAATCAATATCATCCAAGTCAAAAAAGAGCCATAGAATAATATGACCCTTCCCACTATTCCCCTCAGCAAAAGTCAGTCCAAGGATTTGAGAATGGTATGCAAAGCATTTGAAGTATATTTTATTTATGAAAAAATAAAACTGCTTGTTATGTTTGGAAGAAAGAAGTTTAGCTTTGAGGTCCTCTATTTCCAGCTGTTGCATATGGGTCTTCTAAGCCTTTTGTGAGATTATTTTATCCAACTCATTATTCTTTCTTTTAAGATGTACTACTTTGCTCAGTATATACTGCACATCTAGTATAAAAGCTCAAAGGCCACTGCTCAGAGAGGAAGTACAAGATGCTCCTGTTCTTATTGATGGAGTAAAACGAGGCTGATATGATGTCTGTCTTACTCTAAGTAGTGGCAAAGGAAGGACTAAACCAGGTGCTAAATCTGAAGATGGTCAGTAGGCATCTCCTAGACCACGATGAAGGAACCAGTTGTCAAGGTAGCTCACTATGTTCCATGATCACGGGTAAATCTGTACACAGGACACTGGTGGTCCAACTACACAAGGGTTTTGCTTAAAATGCAGTAGTGGTGGTAGGAATCAGCTTTGTAATCACAGGTCTTGGCACTGCGATTACGTTACATGGAGTCTGACCCAGGGTGTGATACTACCACAAGAATCATGAGACCTAGAAGGAAGCTGCAGTTGCTGAAGTCCCTAACTTATCTTACTTTTAGGATAAGACATGTTATCCAAACGTGTGGACTGGGAACAACCAGAATTAAAATCACCTAGGGTGATACAGACTTTTATGTCTCCAGCCTAGACCTAGATCAGAATCTTACAAGTGGGGCTCAGGAATCTGTATTTTTAAAAGTTCCTATGTCTTTTTACTCACATTAATATTTGAAAATCAACGGTCTAGATGCACACTGTCCAATACGGTAGTCATTAGCTATATGGGCTATTAAATTTAAACCAGTTAAAATTAAATAAAATTTACAATTCAGCTCTTTAGTTGTACTAGGCACATTTCACATTCCACAGCTGCATGTGGTAGTGACAGCACATTTCCAGCACTGCAGAAAGTCTATTAGCCAGCACCGGTCTAGACTTTGTATTTAGGACAAAGACATTTAATTATCCTTAAGTGTGGCAGACAGAGGTAGAATTTCTTAAGGACTAGATTTTGGAGGGTAATGCATGGAATTTGAATGTATGTGCATTCCTGTGCATGCCCAGGGTGGACGGGGTGCTACTTGGCCAGCGAGACTGGGACACTGCAAATGAAATAAAGAGGGAGACCACTTCCTTTAACCTGTTTTGGCAGAGTTGGTTTGGCCCAACCATAATGAACCAGAAGTTATCTTAACTAGATCAAAAAGAGGAAGGTCTGGAAAAACTGACCTCGTAAGAAAGAACAGGGACTTTGTATCTTTGGAAAAACCTGTATTCAAAGAGTTGTAAATGAAATAGACAAACTCTACCTTTGCTCTTCGGGAAGAGCAGTACTCTATCCAGTTGAGGTAAATCACACAGAAACTCTCCCTAGATATGCCTGCCAGTCGGTGGTCATAGTCTTCATCAATGTTTGGATTAAAGGTCGGGTCCACATCAACATAATTGCGATCTGCACATAGACGAAGTCCTTCTTGCATTGTCTCGTTAGCTAGCCACTCCTCTAGCTTAGAAGAGGTCGTAACATAATAAATGATACCCTAATATGAACAAGAGGAAAAAAAAGAATTCAGATTAAATCACAATTTCAATGAACTAAAATTCCTCAGTGAAATAAATTCCAAGTATTTATAATGATAGTATGACTAAAAAGTATTTTATTCCCCCTCAATATTCTACATATATATTTTAAGAACACTATAATAATATATCTCAAGCCTTACTGGATGAAAAAACATTTAATACTTTAAAATCATAACCATAAATTCAGCAAAGCAACTTCAAAACAATTCTATTTATTTTATTTTATTTTATTTATTTCTTGAGCAGAGTCTCACTCTGTTACCCACACTGGAGTACAGTGGTGCAATCGTGGCTCACTGCAACCTCTACCTCCTGGGTTCAAGGGATTCTTGTACCTCAGCCTCCCAAGTAGCTGGGATTACAGGTGTCCACCACCACATCTGGCTAATTTTTAAATTTTCAGTAGAGATGGGGTTTCAGTATGTTGGCCAGGCTGGTCTCAAACTGCTGACCTCAAGTGATCTGTCTGCCTCAGCCTCCCGAAGAGCTGGGATTACAGGTGTGAGCCACCATGCCTGGCCCTAATCTATTGATTTTAGAGCTTTTGAACTTAAAACAAACAAACAAAACACACACACACACACAAAAACACTTTACTTTGGTGCATTTATGTTGAATAATTTCCTTACAGAGAGTTATTAAAGCCATCTGGTGGTCCTAGGTCAAGTTACAGAGATATATATCTAGAACTAGAGACAGAAAATGCCACACGCACACGCAAGTAAAAAAATATTGTGAAGTCAATTTCTAGCTTCCTGAGGTTAGGTTTAACCAAACATTAAATGGAAGGCTCAACATTCATCCCAATCAGCAAATAAGGTGGTGGGGAGAGGTAACAACATAAGATATGAAAATTTCAGGCTGGGCATGGTGACTCATGCCTATAACCCCAGCACTTTGGGAGGCCAAGGTGGGACAACTGTTGGAGCCCAGGAGTTTTTGAGAGCCTGAGCAACATACCAGAACCTCATCTCTACAAAAATAAAAATAAAAAATTAGCTGGTAGCATACACCTGTAGTCCCAATTACTCAGGAGGTTAAGGTGGATGTATTGCTTAAGCCCTGGAGGTCAAGGCAGTGGTGAGCTACAACTGTGGCACTGTATTCCAGCCTGGGCAGCAGAATGAATGTCTCAAAAAAAAAAAAAAAAAAAAAAAAAAAAAAAAAAAGAAAAAAAAAAAGAAAAGAAAAAAAGGTGTGAAAAATTCAAATGTTGGTCATTAAAGCTTAGCACACATTCTCTTCTTAAAAATAATGGTTTCACCTAGAAGCCTCTAAATCACAACCATACTGTATTTCTGTAAACTCTTTAGCAAAAATAGAATATCTGGTACAGTAAAGGATTAACCTTGCCCAACTAGAGGTTTAGCCTTTAACCTTAGGTTCTAGGGGTAATCTCTAAGCCTTGGGAAGCCCTGCCTGTTAGAGTCCTTGTTCAGCTGGGAGCCTAGAGCCACACAGTATCACCAAGACCTCTAGACGTCCTGGAGACTTAAGTTGGCCATGTGGATGGTCAACCTTGCCTACGTGACAAGACACCAAGTGCGGGCAAGCTTCCTTGGTGGACAACACCCTGTGAGTACTGCCATGCTTCGCTGCTGGGAGAAACAGGCATCTGCACAACTCTGCTGTGAGAGGACAACTGGAAGGCCCTTGACTCGGTGTCTCTGGACAATATTCTATGTACCTCTTCCTTTGGCTGATTTTAACCTGTGTCCTTCCACTGTGATAACATGAGTGTAATGTATGACAACTTTGCTGAGTTCTGAAGTCTTTCTAGCAACTTAATGAACCTATGAGTGGTCTTGGGGACCCTGAAATTATAGTTGATGTCAAAAGTGAGGGTGGTCTTGGGGACCTCTTGAATTTTGCAATATTTTTATTCAGTTTATTGAATGAAAGCAGTGCAAAGCAGTGGTCAACAGCAAAGTCTTAAGATTCAGACAAACCTGGGTTTTAAATCCCAAATTCTACTTGTTAGAGGACCTTGGGTAAGTTAATTTCTGATTCTTAAGTTGTTCATTTGTAAAATAGGGAAATACTCCTCTACAGAATTAAGATACACATATGTGTGTATGCATATTTGCGTATACATATTCCTTTGCACAATGCCTAAAACACAAGCTCCAAATGTCTAGTTATCATTATTAATGAATGAATGGAATGAATTCCAGTAAACAAAGAAAAAGCAAGACCTTAGTAGGTTTATTTTTATGGACTTTTCTGGATTCTAGAGAATTTAAATAAGTACTTAGAAGCAAAGCACAAGTTTAAAAAAAAGTGTGTGTGTATACATATACATATATATATATGTATACGTATATATATATACATGTCATTCCCAAGAAGAAACTCTGATTATCTGAAGATCTAAGTAGGCACATACTCCTACCTTGACATAGTAAGTGGTGAGTACTTTCCGAAGATCAAAGACTTGAAGCATAGAAGCAGCACTATTATCAGTGATGCTATAACCCTCTAGAATATACTTTGTAACTATTACTTCCCAAGCTAGCCATCGCTGGCTAAATGCAGCATTAAATGAAAGCATATGAGGAATATGGCCAGGTTCACAACAGCAAAATCCTTCATCTTCCTCTACACCTTCAGTAATGGCCTCCACTTCCCGCTGTTGACAGTAGGTACCTTAAACAGAGGGGAGAGAGAGAGGGAGGGGGGAGGGAGAGGGGGAGGGAGAGAGAGAGAGAGAGAGAGAGAGAGAGAGAGAGAGACTATTACAAAGGGGAAAAACCAGAAAATGGGAAAAATGAATGCAAGGACACCTGATATTTAGAAAAAATACATATTTTATAGCAACTGAAAGTATATGATGGATTTTTCTTACAATATTCATTAATGAATTGTAGCAAACTCCAGAAAGCAGGCATATTCTATATTCATATCCTGCAAAAACACAATGTGCATTAGCACACTATGGGTTCTGAAAATTTGTGTAGTAAAGTAACTTTAATTTTGACTTATTTCTAAATGTTTCAAATGGGTTTATGATTGTTTGTATCAAATAAAGAACCAAAGAGTAAAGGCATGTTTCCTGAAGGTCTCAGTTAATTTTAAAAATACAAAAATCAGTGGGATGTTATTGAAGTAAAAATACAAAAATTTAATTACTATCACCAACATTTCCATAATAATGTTACATAGATTTGACAAGAAAAACACTTGACTTGAACCTGACATTGATATAAATACATGTTGTGGGTGACTATTTTATAAGATACTCCCTAAAAATATACAGGCATACATTGTTTTATTGTGCTTTGCTTTATTGTTCTTTGAGGGCATTGTGATATCTACAAATTGAAGATCTGTGACAACCCTGTGTCAAGAAAGTCTATTGGTACCATTTTACCAACAGCATGTGCTCACTTCCTTTTTTCTGGATCACATTTTGGTAATTCTCTCAATATTTCAAACATTTTATTACTATTGTATCTATAATGACTTGTGATCAGTGATCTTTAATATTACTGTTGTACGTACTCTGGGGTACCATAAGTTATGCCCATATAAGATGGCAAACTTATATTGACAAATGGTGTACAAACTCTGACTGCTCCACTGACAAGTCATTCCCCCATCTCTCCCTCTTCTCAGGCCTTCCTATTCCCTAAGACACACAATATTGAAATTTAGCTAATTTATAACACTACAATGGCCTCTAAGTGTTTAAGTGAAAGAGTCACATGTTTCACTTCAAATCAAACGCTAGAAATAAGTAAGCTTAGTGAGAAGGCATGTCAAAAGCCAAGTGCATTAGTCTGTTGTCGCGTTACTATAAAGAACTATCTGAGGCCAGGTGCGGTGGCTGACGCCTGTAATTCCAGCATTTTGGGAGGCCGAGATGGGTGGATCACGAGGTCAGGGGTTCAGGACCAGCCTGGCTAACATGTTGAAACCCCATCTCTACTAAAAAACACAAAAATTAGCTGGGCATGGTGGTGCATTCCTGTAATTCCAGCCACATGGGAGGCTGAGGCAGGAGAATTGCTTGAATCTGGGCCGGGAGGTGGAGGTTGCAGTGAGCTGAAATAGTGCCACCGCACTCCGGCCTGGGCTACAGAGCTACAGAGCGAGACTCTGCC